ACTCGAAAATATTATTATTTCGGAACTAAAAACATGACTGGATACTCCTGACTGAATAATTAATTCCGAACTCATTAATTAAGTAAATGAATCAGAATTAAATCTGAAAACTTATTCTGTTACTGAATAAATTAAACAGAATAACTTATCGACTAACAGTCGAACATAGAATATAACTGACTGATTAACCTGAACTTGAACATGAACATGATTATTTATTAATAAAGGCTAGCTTAAAACTAAAAGCTAGTATTTTCTCTTATTAATAAAATATGGGGCGTTACAGCTGACGTTCAGGAAACTATTTTTGAGGGAGTATGAGATTTTCTTTGCTGTTAATGAAAAATAAGAAGATAGAATGATTTCTGATGTTGAACTAATCTCCTCGGTCAATATATAATGGAGCGAGAGGGAGTAGATCGAGCAACGTGCGGGGGATAACTCTACTGGAATATCGCAACGTTGATTTGATCGAAGAAAGAGGAAGACTCGGTCCATCATCACGTGAATAAAAGGAATAGAAAAGGGCTGAGATTTTAAATTCCTATTGGGCCTAATAAAAGACTGTACACTTGGGCTGGTTTAACTCAAAACCAAGGAATTAATCATAAAGACTGGGAATAAATCTCAATTGGACCAGGAATAATTTAAATTGAGTCGGAATCAATTTAATCGAGCTGAAATAAAATACCACGCGATAACAAGAATTCCCGATCGACTCGATTGACGATGAAAAAAACAAATACATAACTTATTATATTAATTAGACTACATCTAATTAAATAATAATAAGTCTAAACGGAAAGTGTCGAGCAATTACTGAACTATACAAAATAAAATAATCACGATAATTCAATAATTCGTAAAAATTCACAATTCCAACGGATTAAATTCGATTTACGCGATTAAACCGAAATCGTCGAACGACGAACGTTTTAAAATAAAACGATCAAGTACTCCAACCTAATATTTAAGACGACATCGCGACTAATAAAATAAAAATTTAATTTCATAAACAATATTCGATAAATAGAATATTTCGAGAAATTCTATAAATCGAACGGGACGTTACAATCTATCCTCCTTAGAATATTTCTGTCCTCGGAAATACGAAAGAACACGCATCTAAATGAAAACGACATACTCGAAAAGCATATACTCACGTCAGGGCTCAATCTAACTCTCCCTATGCTCACATGTTTGCCTTATGCATGAGAGGGTGATCAATCCTACTCGAGCTCAGGAGCACATCCACTTGCAAGGGACCAAGTCCCGCTTGGCCTATACCCATGAGTATCAACAATTAACTTCGTACTTAACAACACACAAGACCTCAACAGGTCTTTCGGTGTATTGCAGCGTACTTCGACTACCTCACCAATAAGGTGGACACGTGACGCCAGGTTTCAGTCTCGTGCCCGAGTCATACTGATAACTTGCTCACGATTTTATCACGGACCGAGTGTCTCGATCAGAGACTATGACACGGTATACAACACATCCCAGATGCTCACACCCACACGATATTGACTCCACAAGTCGAACGCAGTCCTTATGTGCAAACATAAGGATTGGCCAATAGCAACATGACATTCCCAAATTGCTTACTCGAGAAAATCTCAAATAAGATGCAGGGACTCATGGACTACTCTCCTTAATTAGAAATCATCGATTATGGATTTACACACATTTAGTGGGAATCAGAGCTCTCGATTCAAGGTTCGAACGAAAGGGATTCAAAAGGATAACCAAGTATTCCAGCATGAAACAGTTTCAACATTTTAGGAAAAATATCGATGATTGGCCGTATACACTGGCCTGGGGAGTTCGTGCGTACGGTGATGGTGGCTACAATTCACATGCGAGTCAATGGTCGGCCGCGCGCAAGCCTCTCGTCTCTCAGCATGGTCGTGCGTGCTCGGCCATGATGAGGATCGTGTGTTTCGATTGCCGATAAGCCGCGAACCCGCGCCTTGAATCGCCGATAGTGTTTCTCAAGCCACAACCGCGCCTATTGAAACGATAAAATTGCAATAGTATTCTGGTGAAAAGACTAAAGCAAAGTTGGAAGAACAAAGTTCTAGATTTCTATTGACTTCTTGGATAATTGAATGATTCAAAATAACATAGGGGAAGGGCCTTTATATAGGCACCAACTAGATCTAAGTCTATTCTACTTAGGGAACTAATAAAGCAATAAAATATTAAGTGTCCTAACTAATCTAGATATCATAGAGCATTAAGAAAACTAAAAAGTAGGGATCTTGAACTTTTCTTGCACTCCAAGTAAGCCCAAGCCGCCCTTGGCACGCTGCCCGCGCGCGCTGCCCTGCTGCCCCGCGCCCGCACGCTGCTGCCTTGTG